GAGGAATGGGCAAAATCTTGTCCTTCCCAGTTGGCTCAGGCAAAAGCAAAGTGCTGCAGCCTCTCCTAGCTTGTGTGTCCTTCCTTGTCTGTAACTTTTGCAACCTCTTGACCACACACTTATGCCGGCTGGCCACACTTGTTCTGGCTTTTATCTGTGAAACTTTGGAGGGTACAGTCTGTTTTTATGGGAGGACAAGAAGCAGTGGCTTGAGCCGTGGACTATGACTCTGGAGAAATGGGTTCGATTTCCCGCTCAAACATAAAAGCCCACTGGGCAAGTCACACTTTCTCAGCCTCAGAGGATGGCAATGGCAAACCCCCTCTGAACAAATCTGGGAAATAAAACCCTATGAATAGGTTTTATGATAGCTTCGCCATAAGTCAAAAATGACTTAGAGGCACCCAAGGACACAACCAACCATCTTCCGAAAGAGGACCGCCATCTCTAAAAGAGGCCACTCTAGCTAGGAATTTGCCGGCTCTGGTCTTGATGATGTCTCCTGGATGACTCCTAAATCCCTTGTTTTCAGCTCTTAATCTCTAAACTTTGGCCCTCTTCCCAAAATTGGGAGCGTTTCTGAGCCTGGCGCGTTTGGCACTAATCCGAACAGGAGCAGCTGTGCTGCGTCCTTGCGCCTTCGAAGCGGCCGGTGCTATAAATCCCACAGCCCAAAATAATGCCAGCTGCAAGACTGGCACAGCCTCCCCCTTCCTTCAAGTCCTCCTTCTGTCCAGAAGAATCCTTGTGCTATGATTATGTAGCGTGAAAGGGTCCCTAAGGGTGCATCCACACTGGAGAATTAAAAGCAGTTTGACACCACTTGAACTCCCTGACTTTTTCCTTACAGAATCCTGGGATTTGTAGTTTGGCGGTGCAGCAGAGCTCTCTGGTTTAATACCTTACCCAACTACAAATCCCAGGACTCCACAGGATGGAGCCTTGACGGTTCAAGTGGGGTCAAACTGCTTTAATTCTGCAGTGCGGATGCATCCTAAGTCACTTTCCAGAATACGCCATCATAGCGCTGTGATATATAACTTTTCACTGCCACCGGTGCATCCTATAGAGTCCTGGGATTCATCGTTTGGGAAGGCACTAGAGCTCTCTGGTAGAGAAGAGTAAATACTTTATGAAGCTACAAATCTTGGGATTCCATAGGATGATGCAGCCTTGATAGTTAAAGTGGGATCATAGAGGTACAACTGTGCGGTGTGAAAGAACACCTGGAATATTGGGGGAACCCAAAAGACAGAGATTTGGAGTGAAGGAGAGTTTCCCTCCGAGTCTCTGGAGCAGCCGATTCCATTTTCTGCGTTATATTCTTCTGTGTTAATATTGCTTCAGATCTTTAAAGATGGCTGTGGCTGCTTCTGCACTGCAGAAATAATCCAGTTTGACACCAGCCAGGGCTCCATGCATCACGCTCTCGATTCATGTTAAGCTTGTGGGCTACTCAAGTCCTTTCCGACTTATGGCGACCCTAAGGCAACCCGATCATGGGGTTTTACTTGGCAAGTTTCTTCAGAGAGGGTTTGCCACTGCCTTCCCCTGAAGCTGAGAGAGTGTGACTTCCCCAAGGCCACTCAATGGGTTTCCGTGGCTGAGCAGGAATTCGAACCCTGGTCTCCAGAGTCCTAGACCAATGCTCAAGCCACTATACCACGCTGGCTCCTATAGACTTAGGTGCCTAGTGGTAGTTCTTCCTGTCCAGATCTCAGCAACACTCAGAGAACATGGCAAGGCAGTATCCATGCCACCTGGGAATGGGGGATTTGGGGAGTTGTAGTCCAAAAAGGTGACTTTCTCCAAGATCTGTTCCCCCCATGTGGGATCTGATTGCAGAGGTGAGTGGGGAAAGCACTCTGTGCATGCTCAGGAGAGATAGAAATGTGGGCTTGAATCCTGCTTGCCATTAATGGGGGATTCTGGGAGTTGTTGTCTGGAAGGGGAACTTTCCCTAAGGTCTTGCTCCACTTGCATAAGGCCTGGTTGCAGTTTCTCAAAAGTGTGGGGCAAAAAGCACTCTGTACATGCTCAGTCCTCATCCTCCTACCTTTTCCTAATTCAGGACTCAAGCCGGTTTACAGCAATTAAAAAAATAAATGCAGCTAAAAATTCACATTGCATGAAGGTCTAAAACATCCAGAATCTACTATTCTGCATTAACTTTACATATACTTCACTGCCTGGCAGTGGCACTAAGAAGCCCTGCTAATGAATTCAATTCAATTTAATTTATGTTTAACTTTTGTATGTTTTATGTGATTTTATATGGTTTTAGCATGGGTTTATTTTAATTTTATTGCAAAGTTTTAAAACTGTTTTATCTGTGAGCCGTCTTGGGTTCCTTTCTGGGAGAAAGGTGGCATATTAATGAATGAATGAATGAATGAATGAAATTGCAAAGTTGCATAGTGAGACACTGACCGATGCGCATTGGTCATTTTGCTGGCTCCCTTACATAGGCTGCATCTGCACAGCTGAAATAATCCAGTTTGACACCGCTTTAACCGTCATGGGTCCCTGCTGTGGAATCCTGGGATTTGTAGTTTGTTGTGGCACCAGAGGCAAAACATCTCACAAAACTACAAATCCCAGGATTCCATTGCACGGAGCCCTAGCAGTTAAAGCGGTGTCAAACTGGATTATTTCTGCAATGTGGATGCACCCATAGTAATGTAACACCAGCCCTTTGCTGGATGCAGACATCATGGCCCAGTTCTAATTCCTGTCGACGTACGTCAGTCTCCAGCAGGATTCTGGCCATAATTAAACTATAAATAAAACTGATTATTAACACCATTAAAAAGAAAACAATAAATAGACACTGCAATGCATTATGTGTTGCTGTTGTGTGCCTTCAAGTCATTTCCGACTTACGGTGACTCTATCATGGGGTTTTCTTGGCCCAATTTCCTCAGATGGGATTGGCCACTATTGCCTTCCTCTGGGGCTGAGAAAGTGTGACTTGCCCAAGGTCACTCTGGGAGTTCTCATGGCTGAGTGGGGATTCGAACCCTGATCTCCCAGATTCCTATTCCAGCGCTCAAACCACTACACCTTGGTTTTTCTCCTAGGGTTGTCTTTGCTAGTTTCCTTCTCAGGAGGTTTGCTGTCATTGCCTTCCTCTGAGGATGAGAGTGTGTGACTTGCCCAAGCCGGGTTTCCATGGCCAAGTGCAGAATTCGAACCCTTTTCTCCAGAGTTGTAGTCCAGCACTCAAGCCAATACACCACACTGTCTATTGCAGCACCTGATTCAAGATGCATATGTTGGGCTTCAACCCTGCAATCTGTTAAGATGAGGGTCATGTTGGCTGTGGATTCTGGGAGTCATAGTCTGTAAAATAACCTTTTCCTAGCTCTGGTGTAGGCTTCCATTCTGCTCGTTTCAGGTCCTGGGTTCAAGGAGGTGCCTGCCGCAGACTCTCTGGCCTGGCTTTTCTATTTCTATTTTTATTTAGTTCTCAAATAAAGCGGTGGCCCAGCCCAGCCAAGGGGATAGGTGCCCAAAGCGGGCACATGGGTGGCACAATTAATTTCCACCCATTTTCTCATCCAACCCAGAATCATTTCCATCACAGAAGAGGAAGGGGAGAAGAGATGGGAAGAGAGAAGTTGGGCAATGGATCAAAATGATCGGCTGCTGGGAATTTATTACAATTTTTTCCCCGACCATTTTTGCAAGCCACCGACTCAGCATCCGGTGCAGAAAGTGGGAAAAAAAGATATTGGCATACAAGTCAGAATTAATTATGATTTTTTTAAGGGGAGGGTTGGAGATAAGAGAATGATTTCTCCCCCTGTTTCTTCATGTCGTTTTGCTCTGCAATACATTTGCAATAAATGCCTTATATAGGGAGGGGGCATTGCTATTATTTCCAAATGATGGACCCCTCTTCTGCATCCCTGGCTTGGCCAAAATGGGCTTTTTCTGCCCGCTCCTTGCCTGGTCCTGGGCAGCAAAAGGCCAGTCTGGGCTTGCAAGGCAATTAGCAAATGGCTTTGGAAGAGGGAGCCAAAGAGAATATTTGGGGGGGGAGAGTGTGGAGAGAAATCTTTATTATTTATTATCAGAGGGAGAGCCAAGGAGAGAAGGAGAAAATGAGGGTTTTATAGCCTGAATGTAAATGCTGAATGGGACCCATTATTCTGCAAATGGATTTCATTACCCCTGCGCTCAGCACTTTCCTTAACAGGTGTCTCAGCCACTGGGTTATATAGTCCATGAAAATGCCTCTCCAGAGGGGTCTCTCTCTCTCTCTGTATGTCCATGGATCAAAACTACAAAATATATAAACAAAACAGCCCTGATCTGGCATTGAGGGGGTGGAAAGCATGTGCTTGATAGACTATAGCAAAGCCTTTGACTGCATAGACCATGAAAGGCTATGGAACGCCCTTAAAGATATGATGGGAGTACCAACAGATCTGATAGTCCTGATGAGGAATCTGAACTCAGGACAAGAGGCTACTCTCAGGACAGAAGATGGAGAAACAGAATGGTTCCCAATTGGCAAAGGGGTCAGACAAGGCTGCATCCTTTCACCCAATCTGTTCAACTTATATGCAGAACATATTGTAAGAAAAGCAGGCTTGGACACAGAAGAAGGAGAAGAAGGAGTGACAATAGGAGGGAGGAATATCAACAATCTGAGATATGCAGATGACACTATAATACTAGCAGAAAACATCATAGGCTTAAAACACCTACGAAGGAAGATCCAAGAAGAAAGTGCAAAGGCAGGCTTAAGGCTAAACATCAAGAAAAGAAAAATAAGGACCACCAAGGAGGACCTTCACAAGTTCAACCTAGACAATGAAGACATAGAAATAGTCAAAGAATTCCCATATCTGAGAACCAACATGGATAGAAATGGGGACTGCAATCAGGAAATCAGAAGAATGGGGAGATGGCTATGAAAGAATTAGAAAAGACCCTAAAATGCAAAGACATACAACTCAGCACAAAAATCAGAATCATACAAGCCATTGTATTCCCTATTACCATGGATGGATGTGGGAGCTGAATAGTCAAGAAAGAAGAAGATAGGAGAAAAAAGCAATGCATTTGAGAAAATGTTGGCCTGGAGAAAAGTGCTGAGGATCCCATGGAGAGCCAAAAGGACAAACCAAGGGGTCCTAGAGCAGATCAAGCTGGAAACCTCCCTGGAAAAAGCCAAAATGACCAAACTGAGGCTGTCATACTTTGGAGACATCATGAGAAGACATGGATTGTTGGAAAAGACAATAATGTTAGGAAAAGTGGAGGGAAGGAGAAATAGAAGAAATAGAAGAAGGCATAGATGGATGGACTTTATTAAAGAGACCACAAATATGAGTTTGCAGGAGAGGACAGGGGGAGATATCTCATACAGAGGGTCCCCATGTGTCCCAAAGATTGCAAAGATCGATGCAAAGGCAGTTGTTAACAACAACAACAAGGCTGACTTTAGGCTCACCGAATTACAAAAACCACCATGGCTGCATCTGCACTGTAGGAATAGTGAAGTTTGCTACCGCTTTAAGTGTCATGGCTCAATGTTATGGAATCCCGTGATTTGTAGTTAATTGTGGCCCCAGAGCTCTCTGGCAGAGAAGGCGAAATATCTACAAATCCCTGAAAACCATAGCATTGAGCCATGGCAGTTAAAGTGGTGCTAAACTGCATCAGTTCTGCAGTGCAGAGGCAACCCTTGCTAGTGAATTGCAAAGCAAAGTGTATCTGCCCATCTGTTCGTGCACACACATACACACAGGGCCCCAAAATGGTCCCCCCAAAAGTAGACTGTGGATTGGGTGGGGGGCATGATGAATTTAAACAGGTATGACCTTAACAGATTAGAGGGCTGGGCTGGAACAAGGAGGAATGCAAGGTACTACA